GGAGACTTCTTACTCCCGGAGATAAACCCCCACTTTCCTCTACTACATATATAAATCTTTACCGATTGTGACCATGCCAGATAGTTGGTTCCATCCAGCTTAACTGTGGTCACAGTCAATAAAGAATCAACTGGAGTTCCCTGAACTTGTCCAAATTCAGCAACATTCTTACTCTCAATCTCTGAAGAGTCCATCATGTAACACTTCAAATAGGGATTCAGTCAACTTCTACTAGTGTACTGAATGAGGATGAGCTAGGACTGTGTTAAATCAGCCTCAAAACACAGCAATACACAAGGCCAAACCAAACCCGAAAGCAGTGAGAACCAAGCTTGGCAGCAGCACCTTGTTGTCTACACGAGACACTAAATGGCTTGGTTCGGCCTTCAAGAAGTAATCAACAGACCTCCAAGCACTGTGCACCCAATTGAAGTACCTTTTCTAATCAAGGATTCTAGGTACTCACCAACAACTGCCCTAAAAAGAGCAAAAAACAGTCCGTAGTGATTAAGGGGCCTTTTTACGAACACTGTGTGGGCAGCAGAGAAGACCCCACTGTCAACAAGTGAGAAACACCTCAGGAGCAGTCCGTACAGGTCCAAAAAACAACCAAACAGAAGCAAGAACTCACACCACTGAATCCAAAGAGGTTTCAGCAGCTTGACAGTCCAAAAAAGGGAGAAAACCAACCCAGAAATCTCTAGGTTAAACCAGATTAACCACAGTCAAACAGCTGTACAGTTTCAAGAGAACTTCGAACACTTCAACAGTCCCCAAAACAGAAATATAACTCAGGAATAACTGAATGCAACTTACAATCTCATCAATCTCTGATTTGAGCTCCAAATCAGAAACCGAACAATCCTTTTCTCTGATTCTTCCTGGTCACCAAACCACTCTCCAAGAGATTAGAGTCTTGAGCACCCTCCAATGACCTCCAAGAATCAGGCGAACAAGCTGAAGCTTCCAGCCCTAAAACACCCTTATGCAGTCGGCTGGACTACACCCACATGAGAGCCAAGCCAAGTTCAGGCCTGCTCTGATACCAAGAAGAAAAACAGTCCTTGAGAGTGTGGGACTGTTTAGGAGAGATGTAGAAATCAAAAGGAATCAAAAACTGCAGAGAAGATTGCTTCTATTGAGTAGAAGATGAAGAGGGAGATGGCAGCAAAGAGGGTTAGAGTATGAGAGGTTCGAACTTCACTCTCCCTCTAACACCCTAACACTATTTCATTAAGTTAGTTTTGAATAATTACAAGGGAGGGCCCTTGGTTGGGCAAGAAATTACAAGAACATAACATAAAAGAGGATGGGCCCAGAATAAGGCCCATTACAGAAAGGAACATAAACAGTAAGAAAGAATAACAGCCTATGGGCCATTCGGCCCATCTTCTCTACAATGCTCTCAGAATACACTAGGTGTTTGATAAAATTTCTAAGGTAGGGTTCATCTTTTGAAGCTTAACTGAATGGAATTGTTGAGGTAGGGGCCATCTTTTGAAGCCTAAGCGAATGGAGTTGCTGAGATAGGGGTCTACAACAAAATAGAGTTGCTGGAAGGAAAAACCATCATATTGTTGAAGTAGCCATAAGCATTTTATTTGCCTCACATGTTCCTATCAAATTTTGGGGGGATGCTATTATTACAGCAACTTATCTTATCAATTGTATGCCATCCAAAGTCTTGGGTTTCAAGTCTCCATTTAATCTATTGTTTCCGAACAGACCTTTTTTCCCTTCCTCTTCGTGTCTTTGGTTGCACTTGCTATGTTCACATCCCCAATTAACAAAGACACAAATTTGAACCAAAGGCCAGCAAATGTATATTCCTTGGTGAATGCCTCCACATAGAAGGTTTATTGTTATTATGATCCAATTAGTGGCACTCGCTTTGTTTCCATGGACGTCACTTTTGTAGAGTTCATTCCCTTTTATGGTCATTCTCCTAAGGGGGAGGAGTTCATATGAGTTACTTGATCTTCCTCTTCCTAATTCTATTGAGTCCAATGGTTAACCTCTTGTTGAATCACCTCCTTCTATGTCCGCTTCCCCTATTGAGTCATCTCCTAGTTCTCCCATTCCAGTTCCTCCACCACTACCTCCACATCCTCCCTCATCTACTGGATACCGACTGACCAACACCTTTAGAATCCTAGGAGGTAAGTCCAACGGAGCCAGGTATCCTTGTTCCTGTTGATTCCCCAACTCTCATTCCAGTTGCAGATGATCTTGACATTCCTATTACCCAAAGAAAAGGGATTAGGTCATGCACTATCAAACACCTTGTTTCCTTACTCCCATTTCAATTGTTTGATGTTGATAGTATTCCCATACCCAAAAGTGTGGCAGAGGCTTTGACTTACCCTGAATGGACAAATGCTATGAAGGAGGAAATTAAAGCCCTCCATAAGAATAATACTTGGGAATTGGTGGATCTTCCAAAAGGGAAAGAACCAATGGAGTGTAAATGAATGTTCATAGTAAAACACAAGGTAGATGGGACAGTAGAAAGGTACAAAGCAAGGTTGGTACCAAAGGGGTACACTCAACTCTATGGTGATTATGATGGAACATTGTTCTAGTGGCAAAGATGAATTCGATTCAGGTTCTTCTATCATTGGCTGCAAATCTTGATTGGGAGTTGCACTAACATGATGTAAAAAATGCTTTCTTAAATGATGATCTAGAAGATGAGGTGTATATGGTTCAGTCACTAGGGTTTTGCGTAAAATGAAATGAAAATAAGGTGTGCAAGTTGAGAAAGTCTTTGTATGGCTTAAAACAATCTCCCAAAGCATGGTTTAGTAGGTTTCATATGGCAGTTCAGCAAGTAGGATTCAAACAATGATAGTCTAATCAGACTCTTTGTTAAGAGATGTCAGGAACAGGTTGCAGTGTTGATAGTGTATGTGGATTATAGGGAACTAGGTCTTTGAGATACAAAAGTTAAAGTTCTTACCCTCCCAATTTAAGGTGAAAGATCTAGGACCCCTAAAGTATTTTCCTAGGATTAAGGTTGCCTGCTCACAAAAGAGTATTTTCATCTCTCAGAGGAAGTGCATCCTGGATCTTTTACAAGACACAGGAAAACTAGGTGCAAGCCAAATCGATACCCCTATGGATGTTCATCATAAACTGGGTGATTGTGATGGTGAACCTCTGAAGGATGTGAAACAGTTTCAAAGGTTAGTGAGAAGATTGCTATATTTCTCTATGACACGCCTGGCATTGCTTATGCTATTGGGATTCTAAGCTAGTTCATGCATTCACTTAAGGATCAACGCTTGGAGGTTGCTGAGAGGATCCTTAGGTATTTAAAGAAATATCTAGAAATTGATATGCTATTCCGAAAACACAACCATTTGAAGGTGGAAGCTTATATAGATGTTGATTGGGCAGGTGTTGTACTTGAGAAAAGATCCACAAGTGAATATTGTACTTTTATGGGTGGAAACCTGGTGATAGAGAAGTAAAAACAGAGTGGTTGCATGGTGCTTTGGTCAAAGAATCTGCAAGAAGAGCTTGAGTTCAATGTTGGCAGCCCCATATCTCTCTATTGCAATAACAAAGTAGCTATAAAAATTGCAACTAATCCTGTTCTTCATATGGGACAAAGCACATTGAGGTCTTCCTTATTTGTGGCACAATGAACTTGTAGCAAGTTGGGCATGATTGACATATACAGCCCAACTTGAGGGGGAGTATTTCCAGCCTATTATCAGAGTAACAATGCTGTCAGGGTGTTCTTTTCTTGAAGCTTTATATTCTTTCTTAATAGTGTGGGCCGCCAAGGGCAGAACTGCAATTGTATTTCCTTTTATTTTATCACCCTAGTATAAATAAATAACAGGGCATCGCCAGCCCAGATTTTGGCACTCCAAGACATTCTTTCTCTTCTCCTCTCTTCCCTATCTCTTCCCTTCTTCCCTCCACTGTACAACTAGATCTTGAATGAAAACAGACTTCATCTCTAGCAAACTGGGTCTAATATGATATATACACTCCAGCTTGACAAGGAGTTTTGAGAGGATAGCTTCTATTGGCTCTTCTATATATATTTGGACAGCAGGATAGTTCACGCATTTCCTTTTATTGAATAATAAGGACACTCTAATCCACATATTATCATAAACAGGGGCAGATTTGTAACTACAATAATCATTCACTTAATATAAAGCACAGCCATGAGTTCACTGTTTTAACAGAGATTAATCTCTCTAATTCTCTCCTAAGCAGGTCAGCAGCATTGTTCTCTCATCTAGGGCTTGCTTTCTCTTGGTTTTTCCACTTCTTCTTTCTCTAATCCTTTCTCTCTTATTTTCTTTGGGTCATCTCACTGTTCTGACCATATTTTATCTCACTGTTCACCTGATCGGATTCCTCCACCTCCAAATATGATTATCAAACTCAATTTTGATGGATGCAACAGGGGGAATTCCAGTCCTTTAGGAGTAGGGGGATTGTTTAGAGACTGTGGAGGCAAGACACTTGCTTTGTTTTCTGGTCTAATAGGAACAGGTGACTCTACTTAGGCTGACATCTTACATGTCCTACATAGATTAAAACTAGCTAAGTCATTGAACTATAAAGACGTTATAGTAGAAGGAGATTCACAAGTAATTATAGGGTGGCTAAAGGATAATGAAGCAGGGTCATGGAAATACAGGTATGTGATGAGGGAATTTACCAAGCTTGCATTAGATCTCAATGCAATAAACAGGTGGGTTCATAGGTCAGCTAATTCTTTTGCAGATGGACTTGCAAATCAAGGGGTTAATAGAAGAGAACCTAATTGAGGTTTGATACTCAAAAGGTAAAGGCTCAGTTGTATATACTTTATTGAGGTTCTAGCTTTTGTAATTAGGATGCCTAAATTCTGAGCTGTACATACTTCTATATTTTCAGAATGAAATAAAATTAACAGTTACTGAACAAGAAAACAATATATCATGAAACCTAAAATTTGTTAACATATTCAACTTATAGAGGAAAATGCTCACTTTTCTCCTGCTACAGGCATGAATTGAGTAAGGTTGTCACCATCCAATCCAAGCAAATCCTGAAAGGAGAAATTTTAAATCTGTATTCACAATAGATTTACACTCATAAGTTACTCAAAACTTCAAGATAAAGACTAAGAGGGCATGCACATACAGCATAAAAGAGTGCCACGTTGAACTCCTCATCCGACCTATTTAAAGGGAGAAGTTCAATAGAGATGCCAAGATCTTGTGCATCCTAAAGAACAATTGCAATGGTGATTACTTCAACAATGACAGAAGTGTGTAACACATACAATTTATATATAAATATATGTGCGGTACCTTTGCACGCTGTAATGTAGTTCGTGTCATATCTATTTTTGCTGCACCACTGACACTTCCAAAAGGATCATCTTCATTCGTAAACAATAGTATACGTTTATCCACAGTTTTTGCAGATCTGGAATGATTATACTTGAATCACACAAGGGTCTTACAAAGTAAAGAGGAAAAAACTGATGAAATAATATTACCCTTTGCGTAGCAATCCTTGGGCGACCCAAATGGCATTATAGAGGGAGTTCTCACGGTTCCCGGGAATGATTTGATACTGACTACCAATTTCCCCCATGAATTGCTCTATCACATGCATGAAGGTCCAATAGTTAGATGAAAAATTCACTTCAATAAATCTTATTATTCCAGTATGGAATTCATTGAGCATAAATGCAGAATCATTTTTCCAATTAACATCCAGAACATCAAATCATAATGCAGCACAACATTTGCAAAAGAAGGGACTACATGTGAATCACTTCAAAATAGCCATAGACCTTTCAAATTAGGTTATAGTGATTCCAATAGAAATAAAATAAAAGCAAGTCAAGAAATAAAAGCAAGAGAAAGAAAGAGAAATTACATTTAAGCCACTCATTAGCATAAAATGATAAAACATAGGAAAATGACAGATTCCCTTAAGTAAATGCCTCAGACAACACTCCCCCTCAAGCTAGGAATAAATATTATGAATGCCTAGCTTGATAAGATTCTCTTCTAACTTTTATTGAGCTAGCCCCTTAAACAATTGAGATATTGAACTCTTGATGATAAGTTGATATGTATTGTTTTTATTTCTTAAGTGAACTGATAATATTTTAATGGGCCTTGGACCCTACTTATGCTTTTTATTTTGTTTTACTCACGCTCTGTCCCAGCCAACTGAAGGAGGGCAGTATGCTTTTTTCATGTGTACTAAGAAGTTAATACAAATATTAGTGGGCTCTGACCCTATGACCCACATTCTAGTTGTTCTCTTCCATTCTTTCTCTCTTTTCTCACTTCTCTTCTTCTTCGTTGCCGCAACTATTTTTTTCCTTCTGCATTCATTGAATTAACTTTGTAAATTCATTGTGTGTATCACTTGAAAAGGTTGCTGTAGCAGTCTTAGGTTTAGTACGAAACCTGCTCAAAAAAATAGAAAAGAATAAGAGAACAGAGGAAGAGAAGAAAAAATGAGAGAAAGAGAGAACAGAATGAATGAGTTATGTTGCTCCCTTTACCTTTTATATGTGACTCAATAAAAGGTACAATGACAAAAATACCCCTATCAACTATGACAGAGAAAATAATAAAACAGCAGCCTGGAACAATAAAAATAAAGATGGGATTGCATACAACTGCACATAAAATACCAACTAAGGGTCCTTTGTTATATCTCTACACTCCCCCTCAAGTTGGGAGTAGACATTAAGCATTCCCAACTTGCGCAAACCTGTCTCCGTCCTGACTTTAGTGACTGCTTTGGTGAAGAGATCAGCAAGTTGCATATCAGAGGCAATATATGGAAAGCATACTTCTTGAGAAGAAACTCTCTCCCTAATAAAGTGTCGATCCACCTTAATATGTTTTGTCTTGCCATGCTGTCTTGATTGTAACAATACAGCATTAAGGGCTTCTCATATTCAATTAAAAGTTCTTCAGCATGGATCTATATTTTACTTCAGCACTTGAACCGGCAACTACATTTTGTTTCTTTCTCTATCATGAAGCCAGATTTCCTCCAACAAAGGCACAATATCTAGAGGTAGAACTCCTATCATACTACACTTCCAGCCCAATCTGCATCAATGTACACCTCAATCTTCATATGACCATTATTTTTAAAGAGTATTCCACAACCTAGACACCTTTTTTGATAGGCTAGAATCCTCTCAACAGCCAACAAATAAGTGGTTCTAGAAGAATGCATGTAATAACTAACAGCATAGGAAATGTTAGGGCGAGTTAGACAAAGATACAGAAGTTTCCCTACAAGCCATTGATACATGGTCATGTCATCAAGAGGCTCACCCCCTTGTGCACTTATCTTATGATTCAATTTAATGGAAGTATATGTAGGTTTAACTCTCAATTTCCTTATTTCCTCTAAAAGGTCAAGAACATATTTCCTTTGGGAAATGAAAATACCACGTTTAGATTTAACCACCTCAATCCCCAAAAAGAATACCAAAGATGACCTAAGTGTTTCACCTCAAATTCCTTATTAAGTAACTATCTTAGGGAGAATTAATCTCATCAACATCATTGCCTGTTACCATAATGTCATCCACATACACAGTAAAAAGAGTCAAAGAGGAACCACTTCTCCAGAGCCAATCTAAACCTGTCAAACCAGGCCTTTGGAGATTGCTTTAAACCATACAATGCTTTCTTTAGTCTACAAACTTTCTTGCCTGCAACTGTATCACAAAAACCAAGAGGTAATTTCATATAAACCTCTTCTTGTAAATCACCATTTAGGAAGGGATTCTTGATATCCATTTGGAACATAGGCCATGAAAAATTTGCAACAAGGGGCAACAGAACTCTAATAGCATTCATCTTGACAACTGGTGCAGAAGTGTTCATCTTGACAACAGAACTCTAACCAATACCATAGGCTTGTGTGTAACCCTTTGCAGCAAGTCAGACTTTATAGCTTTCAACTAATTCATCTAAATTATGTTTCGCAATAAACACCCATCTACATCCAATGGGTTTCTTTCCTTCAGGTTGATTAACCAATTCCCAAGTCTCATTTTTAACAAATGCATTCACTTCCTCCATTGCATCCTTCCACTTAGGCACAAATAGAGCTTCCTACATAGTTTTAGGAATGGATATAGCAGAAATGGACGCCAAATAGGATTTATACGATGGTGAAAGATGGTCATAAAAAAGAAACTGAGATAAGCAATGGGCAGTGGAGGTAGTGCATCTTTGTTTCCCCCTATGAGTACCAAAATCAACTTGCCTCCACTGCCTACAAAAAACTCTCTCCTTGCATTTCTGACAAGGATCCGCACTACATAATTCCCTTTCAAGAACAAGAATAGGCAAGGGGGGACTTCAGGAACAAAAACACCCCTCTCACCTCTCTCCCCATGAGATGAAACCTCTAGATAATAAGGGGCATCCCCAAAAAAGGCGACATCCATAGACACAAACCAAGAGCCAAAAATCGGATCATAATAGCAATATCCCTTTTGATTTTGTATATACCGAGAAATATGCATTTGGTAGCTTTAGGATCAAATTTAGAACGATGAAGCCTCAAAATTTAAACAAAACAAGTGCATCCAAAGACTTTAAGAGGGATGGTAAACAAGTCTTTCTTAGGATACAATAAAGTTAAAGGTGCTTTCGTACCAAGAACACAAGAAGCGACTTGGTTAATGAGATACACAGTTGTATAAATTGCATCCCCCTCAAAAACGTATAGGGACATTTAAATTTAACATAATGCTTCTTGCAACTTCAATGATGTGTCTATTCTTTCTCTCAACTACCCCATTCTACTGAGGGGTATGAGGACAGGTGCTCTACTGAATAACCCTATTCAAAGATTTAATGAAATACTCCTTGGCATTATCAAACCTGAAAACTTTGATTCTAACTTCAAACTGCATGAGAACCATTTGGTGGAAGTCACAGGTCAAAATAGGAACCTCATCACGAGAATGCATAAGATAAGTCCAAGAGAAATGGGAACAATCATCAACATAACAAGAAATTCTTGTATCCCCCCATAGCAATGATATTATATGGTCTTCAAACATCAATATGCACAATTTCAAAAGGAACAATGCTTCTTTTATTACTCAAAGTATAGATTGATCTACAATGTTTTGCTGGCTCACAACTCTCACACTTTAGACTGAACACTTGGACTAATACAAACAAAGCAGGAAAATGACTCCTTAGAGAACCAAAAGACAAATGACTTGACCAATTATACCAAAGCATAATCTAACTCACAAGTTGAGAGACAAACAAAGCAGGAAAATGACTCCTTTCCAACTCCTTTATTTCTTCAAGGTGGGTGCTCAAGCAAGTAGATTCCATTCGCCTCATGCCCAATCCTAATCACCTTCTTTGTCACCAAATCCTAAAACCACAATGATCAGGGGAAAAGGTCATTGAATAGTTTTGATTTTTAGTAATGCTATTAATAGAAAGTAGATTAATACTAAGTTTGCGCACATGTAAAACTGATGATAAAGGGCATCGGACACTCTAATGTTTATTGCCAGAGATGGGAACAAGAGAGCCATCAGCAATAAAGAGTTTGTCTCTACCAAAGGACAAATGATAGGAGGGAAATAATGAGGCTAGACTGGTCAAATGGTTAGAGGCACCTAAATCTACAATCCAAACAAGATCAGTGTTACCTAGAGTTGAGGCATGATAGGCAATAGCTCTTGTACCTAAGTGTGAAAAGGCTGAAGTGGAAGTGGGAGGACCCGAGGTAAACTGAGATGGTCCTATAATGCTAGCTTCATTCTCCAATTGTGTCAAAACTCAAAACAGCCTTGACCGCAGCCAAGGCATCTAAAGAAGTGGGTCTAGCTCCAGTAGAAGAGGAGACATCTGTAGTAGTGGCTACAATTGCATCTCCATTCTTATTCTTAATTCTTGAAGGCACCAAATGAGAATGAAGCTTCCAGCAAGTGTCTTTAGTACGACCTTCAAACTCCAGAAGCTTTTATAGGTCCTCCACTTGTTGTCGATCTCTAAAACAATCAGAAAGCCACCCAGAAAACACTAAGTGCGACCTTCAAACTGAGGTTTAACCCCTAAACCCCAATCGAACAAGTATCTCTGAACCTTCCTAGTTACTGGGCAAAAACAGAGTTCAGAAAAATGCTAGAACAGTGCACCAATCTCCATTGACCCCCAAGAATCAGGCAAAAAAGGTCTGAAACTCCAGCCCTAATAGAATCTCATGCAGCAGCTGGGTTAAGCATATATGAGACCTAAACCTAAAAATAAAAAAGAAAAGAGAAAAAGAGAAAAGAAAAGAGAACAGAGGAAGAGAAGAAAAAATAGAGAAAGAGAGAGCAGAATGAATGAGTTCTGCTGGTCCCCTCATTGCCTTTTCTATGTGACTCAATAAAAGAAGGTACAATGACAAAAATACCCCTGTTGACTATGACAGAAAATAATGAAACAGCAGCCTGGAACTATAAAAATAAAGATGGGGCTACATATAACTACATATAAAAAACATATAAAATACCAACTAAGGGTCCTTTGCTATATCTCTGCAGTAACACAAGTAGGCATCAAAGGAAGGCTCTTCCTTTTACTTTTTTTTGCAT